ATGTAACAAAAATATCTCAAAGACTGATATACTGAACCAACCAAAACCTAAGCAAGTTTTAGATATATCTAAAACTCTACACCAAGAAAACTGAGAATATAATTTCTTTTTGAACTTAAGAAGGCCATCACAAAAAATCAACCATGTATTGTATGCCACAAAAGAAGTCTAAATAAAATGCTGAGGAAATCAGAAATCATGAACTTTAATTTATTTGACCTTCATTATAGAAATATCTTTCTTGGATACTTGAAAAATATAAACTATTTCTCAGCAAAATAAAGAGAAGTTCAAAGAATATTTTGGTGACCTGAGGGAATACTAGAAGTGGAGACAAGCCAGATAAGGCAAAAAGTCTTCTAGCATCGAACTTTAGAAAAGAGGTTTAAAGATGATCTTAATTACAGACCCTTAACCTACATTTACTAACAGTGAGAAGAAATAAACTTTTACAGGTTAAAGTAGAAGTTGCATTGTGGAAAGGTAAATTCTTACTATATTACTGCCCTTTTATATGCAAGGCTTACTTCAACCTTCTGGAAGAACTTATACTATTTATGCAATTCCATTTAAGAAAATGTTTCAAACCAGGGCTCCAGTGGTTCTTAAGCCATGTGAAGCATCATCAAAACTACATCTTCATCCAGCAGGACAGAAAGAAACAATGCCCAGATGTCCCTGAATATCTTCTTCTCCAAATTTCTAGCAAGCTTATTCCCTGCAGTCCACAACAAGATCGATATTAGCTACTGGTCAGCTTAGAACTAGAGTAACTGATCAAAGCAGTAAAAATTCAAAGATACATAAAAGGTAAGAGGACTAGAAGAGAAAAGATTAAAGAGTTATTGTTTTCAAATGTTTTCATTTGAAATGAAAACATTTGGAAACACAGAAAGCACAGACTATCAACAGACAAATGAGAACTAAAAGAGAGGTCAGCAGAGTTGCCAGCGAAACATTAGTATGTAAAAATCAACAGTGTTCTTCTATTCAATCAAAAATAGGAAATGAAAAGATAATATTCATAAAAGCAATCAAAAGCATAAATAAATAAAAGTTAAATTAAGAAAAAAGCATGAGGACTTATAGAGAAAATTTTTAAACAATATTAAAGGACAAAATAAGTTCTGAATAAGTAGAGAGAAATACTATTATTAGGTGAAATGACTTAACATTGTCATGTTCATTCAACCCAAATTAAAGTCATTGCTGAGCTGGCAAGACAGGGCTGAAGACAAGATTGCACCATATCATACAGCTACATGTACTACAGTACTCTAGCCTCTGATCACATCAGGGAGAAACTTCCCTGGTCATGGAGCCTAAAAACCCTATAGTTTAAGGATCAGAGTTGATCCCTTCTCCCCCAAACACGTGGTCCTACTACATTTTCTGCTAGAATGCAATGGATGACAGGGACCCACATACCTGCTACTGCTCCCGTCTCCATTAATTTCCCCAGTGAATACAGATGTAGCAGGCCTGGAGTCCCTAGCCATTTTACCTTGTTTGCAAGATAGATATACATATATACGTAGCCACAAAATATATTAATATAAACTTTTAATCCCATTAAAAAGAAATTAGAATTCAGAAAACAGGAAAAATGTTTGCAACCATCACAGAACAATCTAAAATCTAAGGTAAATGCTAATTTCACTTCTTAAATAAACTTGCAATTTAACTATATTTAATATATCTTTAATTCCAACCTGCAATGTTTTTAAGCGTTTATTAAGAGATGACTCATCAACTTCCAGAATAAAATCTTCTACTGACATGTACAGCTTCTGCTGCATTTCATTTCTTTGGGCAATCAAAATATTCCCTTCATTCTGGAGGAAGAAAAAAAGAATAACCATCATTAATACATCGGGTCTTTTCTGCATATGACCTATTTGAATAAAAGTGATCTCCAAAATTTAACTTTATATTCTCCAAACATAGTAGCATTTAGGACAGTTCTCTCCTTAGAGCAACAAAATGACCAAAAAAAAAAAAAAAAAAACTTTCTTTCTCTTAATTAAAAATAAAACATTTAAGTTCTACAACTCTGATCTGCTAATTTTTATTTTTCCCATTATTTCTGCAACAATGAAATTTTTGGGGTTTTTTTAGAGAAAATTACGTAAGTTCCTACTAACTATATATGGCCTCTTTCCTATTCCCATCCCACTCTCAACTCCTTCAGCTACTCATCCTTCAAGATACACTTAAACACCAGGATAAACCTTCCAATTTGTCCACTAGGCTGTGTTTGGAAATACATATGTGAAAGATATCCAAGAACTCTACGCATTTTCTTCATTATAGCACTTACCATACTGTATTAAAACTATATATTAACATATCCATCCTGTACCCAAGAAAGAAAGAAAGGATCATGTCTTTTAAAAATTTGTATCTCTATTACTTACAACAGTGTCTGGCACATACACTTAAAAGCTTGAATTTTAGGATATTTTTTCTTGCATAAGCTCAACCAGACTATTTTACAACTATAAATAAAAAAGACCTCAAGTCTATTGCTTTCATCATTTAAAAAAAAAAAACAAAAAACATGGCAATCAAGTTAAAGAACTATGCAAAATACATGAATAAAAGTTAACAGTTCTAAGCCAAATTAAGTACAATAAGGGAAATAAAATAACAATTTCATTTGAGTGGCTAGTACGATTGTATATTTAGCCAATAATCTACTCTTCCATCTATCAAGTAAACTTTCAGTCCAGAAACACAAGCAGTAGTAGAAAAAAATCTGCTTTCGAAAAAAGTCACATCTGTACTAATAGAATACTAAGTGCTAAAGTACCATCCTGAATACTTTCACTATGCTCAAACCACAAAAACAAATAAGGCAGGTTTTTTTTTCATCTTATATGAAAATACATTACGAAGTATTTTAATATCAACAGTGTGGTTTAAATAGAAAGAGAACAGACTTTGCTGTCAGATATGTCTGGGTTCAAGTTCCATATTAACATTTAGAACTAGGGTCCGGGCATGGTGGCTAACACCTGCAATCCCAGGACTTTGGGAGGCCGAGGCAGGAGAATTACTTGAGCCAAGGAGTTCAAGACCTGTCTGGACAATATGATAAAACCCTATCACTACAAAAAGTACAAAAAAATTAGCCAGGCATGGTTGGTAGTGCACGCCTGTAGTCCTAGCTACTTGAGAGGCTGAAGTGGGAGAATCACTTGTGCCCAGGAGGTTGAGGCTGCAGTGTGCTGTGATCGTGCCACTGCACTCCAGCCTGGGTGACAGAGTGAGACCATACCTCAAAAAAAAAAAAAAGAATAATTTTTTAATTAAAAAAAAAATAGAACTAGGCAATCTTGAACAATTTCCTTACCCTTGTAAGCCTGTTTCCTCACTTATAAAATGGGAGCAAATATGCCCATTTTAAAAGTTAATGTAAGAAAATGCTTATAAACACACTGCCTGTGTTTCATAGAAATTAAAAAATTATTCTGCTGTCATCTTCTTTCTTCCATAATCAGAAGTGATCAGTTAAAATCTAACATATAAAATAACCAAAATCTAATCCCTTCTCCAAACTAAACATTCCTGGCATTTTCAAAAGCCTAGTTATCCTGCTCATACTTCTCATTCAGAGCCAGTCAGGCTGCCAACTGGTCAACCTAGGTATGATTAGGGAGTAAGATTTACAGGGTGTAATCCACAGAGACAGAAACCACAAATACTTAAGATGGAACAAGTCCAAACACAGCAAGTATAGAGCTCATAGGTGCTAGGGAAAGTTATGGTGGTAGTAGGAAATGGTTTATAAGAAAAACAGAAAGTTCAGTTCAGTTCAATACAATAAACTAAAGAAAACTGCAACAGGAAATAAATATACTTGCACCTAAGCTAATAAAGAACTTATGTGAAATGTTTCACTGTCAGACCCCTACTCACACACACAACTACCTCCCAACAATAGGTGACTCAGACACTAATTAATAGTAAGGCAGAGTCTTATATGCATAAAACACACCACTCAGTCCAGAAAAGATCTACATTAGCATGTATGAAAGCCACTCTGGTTTACAAGCCTAATGTCCTTCAAAAGCCACTGTCTCTTATAACAACGCCATAGGTATAGCTTCCAGGGTCCCTCAAGGGGCATGTCTAGTTGCAAGAGTCCATATCAAGTATTTGTAGTTTGTAGTTCCTCCCAGTACAGATGCAATTTGACAATCATAAGTTATATTTACCATAAATAATGTTGCCTGGTAATAGCGTTGAAATATTTTATATTACCAAGGGAACAAAGACAGGGAGTTAACCAAAGGTCAAGTTTTCATGCAAAAGGGGAAAAGATTTTGTTACCCCTTATCCACAATCACCAGTTGTCTATTACACCTTTCTTACAACGCTATAAATGAAGCAAATTATTAATATGAAGATACTGTAAAAGTTAAAGATTTTATACAAACTATCATTATAATATCTGCAGTTCCTTTTCTTTTTAGAAAGATAACATTTCCTGAGTTCTAATTTGATTACACTGTGATCTGAGACACTGTTTGCTATGATTTCAGTTCTTTTGCATTTGCTGAAAAGTGTTCTACTTCCAGTTATGTGGTCGATTCTAGAATAAGTGCCAAGTGGCACTGAGAAGAATGTATGTTCGGCTGATTTGGGGTACAGAGTTCTGCAGACATCTAACAGGTTCACTTGATCCAGAACTGAGTTCAAGTCCTGAATATTCTTGTTAATTTTCTGTCTTGATCTAATACTGACAGTGGGGTGTTAAAGTCTCCCATTATTATTGTGTGGGAGTCTAAGTCTCTTTGTAGATCTCTAAGAACTTGTTTTATGAATCTGGGTGCTCCTTGGGTGCATAAATATTCACAATAGTTACCTCTTCTTGTTGAACTGTTCCCTTTACCATTATGTAATGCCCTTCTTTGTCTTTTTTTATCTTTGTTGATTTAAAGTTTGTTTTGTCAGAGACTAGGACTGCAACCCCTGCTTTCTTTTGATTTCTATTTGCTTGGAAAATTTTCCTCCATCCCTTTATTTTGAGCCTGTATGTGTTTTTGTGTGGAAGATGAGTCTCCTGAATACAGCACACCTATGAGTCTTGACCACTTAGCCAATTTGCCAGTCTGTGTCTTTTAATTGGGGAATTTAGCCCATTTACATTTAAGGTTAGTATTGCTCACTCAAAACCACATAATTTCATGGAAATTGAACAACCTGCTCCTGAATGATTCCAGGGTAAATAATCAAATTAAGGCAGAAATCAAGAAGTTCTTTGAAACCAATGAGAACAAAGAGACAATCTACCAGAATCTCTAGGACATAGCTCAAGTAGTGTTGAGAGAAATTTATAGCACTAAATGCCCACATAAGAAAGCTAGAAAGATCTCAAATCAACACCTTAACATCACAATTAAAAGAACTAGAAAGGCAAGAGTAAACGAACCCAAAAGCTAGCAGAAGACAAGAAATAATATCAGAGAAGAATTAAAGGAGATAGAAACACACACACACACACAAACCCTCCAAAAAAATCAATGAATCCAGGATGTTTTTTTTTTGAAAAAATTAACAAAATAGACCACTAGCTAGACTAATAAAGAAGGAGAGAAGAATCAAATAGACTCAATAAAAAATGTTAAAGGGGTATCACCACTGACCCCACAAAAATACCAACTACCTTCAGAGAATACTATAAACACCTCTACACAAATAAACTAGAAAATCTAGAAGAAATGAATAAATTCTTGGATGCCTACACCCTACCAAGACTAAACCAGGAAGAAGTTGAATCCCTGAATAGACCAATAACAAACTCTAAAATTGAGGCAGTAATTAACAGTCCACCAAACAAAAAAAGCCCAGGACCAGACAGATTCACAGCTGAATTCAACCAGAGATACAAAGGACAGCTGGTACCACTCCTTTTGAAACTATTCCCAAAAAGTGAAAAGGAGTGACTCCTTCCTAACTCATTTTATGAAGCCAGCATTATTCTGATACCCAAACCGGTAAGAGACACAACAAAAAAAGAAAACTTCAGGCCAACATCCCTGATGAACATCGATGCAAAAATCCTCAATAAAATACTGACAAACTGAAACCAGCAGCACATCAAAAAACTTATCCACCACGATCAACTCTGCTTCATCCCTGGGATGCAATGCTGGTTCAACATATGCAAATCAATAAATGTAATCTAGCACATAAATGGAACTAATGACAAAAACCACATGACTATCTCAATAGACGCAGAAAGGGCTTTGATAATATTCAACATCGCTTCATGTTAAAAACTCTCAACAAACTAAGTATTGACAGAACATATCTCAACATAGTAAAAGTAATTTATGACAAACCCACAACCTCAAATTGAATGAGCAAAAGCTGGAAGCATTCCCTTTGAAAACCAGTACAAGACAAGGATGCCCTCTCTCACCACTCCTATTCACCAGAGTATTGGAAGTTCTGGACAGGGCAATCAGGCAAGAGAAAGAAATAAAGGGTATTCAAATAGGAAGAGAGGAAGACAAGTTGTCTGTTTGCAGATGACATGATTTTATATTTAGAAAACCCCATCGTCTCAGCCCAAATCTTCTTGAAATGATAGGCAACTTCAGCAAAGTCTCAGGATACAAAGTAAATGTGCAAAAATCACAATCATTCCTACACACCAACAATAGGCAAGCAAAGAGCCAAACCATGAATGAACTCCCACTCACAAGTGTTACAAAAAGAATAAAATACCTAGGAATACAGCTAATAAGGGATGTGAAGGACCTCTTTAAGAAGAATTACAAACCACTGCTCAAGGAAATAAGAGAGGACACAAACAAATGGAAAAATATTCCATCCTCATGGATAGAAAAAGACTCAAGATCATGAAAATGGCCATACTGCCCAAAGTAATTTATAGAATCAATGCTATTCCCATCAAGCTACCACTGACATTCTTCAAGGAATTAGGAAAAACTATTTTAAATTTCATATGAAATCAAAGAAAGACCTCTTATAACCAAGATAATCCTAATCAAAAGGAAGAATGCTGGAGGCATCATGCTACCTGACTTCAAACTATACTACAAGGTGACAGTAACCAAAACAGCATGCTACTGGTACCAAAACAGACATACAGACCAATGGAGCAGAATAGAAACCCCAGAAATAACACCACACATCTACAACCATCTGATCTTTGACAAACCTGACAAAAACAAGTAATTGGGAAAGCATCTCCTATTCAGTAAATGGTGCTGGGAAAACGAGACATATGCAGAAAACTGAAACTGAACCCCTTTCTTACACTTTACACAAAAATTAACTCTAGATGGATTAAAGACTGAAATGTAAAACCTAAAATATAAAAACCCTAGAAGAAAACCTAGGCAATAGCGTTCAGGACATAGGTATGGGCAAAGACTTCATGACAAAAACAACAAAAGCAATTGCAACACAAGTCAAAATTGACAAATGGGATCTAATTAAACTAAAGAGTTTCTGCACAGCAAAAGAAACTATCATCAGAGTGAACAGGCAACCTGTTCTCCTGAACAGGAGAAAATTTTTGCAATTTACCCATCTGACAAAGGTCTAATATCCAGAATCTACAAGGAACTTAAACATATTTACAGGAAAAAGACAACCCCATCAAAAAGTGAGCAAAGGATATGAACAGGCACTTCTCAAAGGAAGACATTTATGTGGCCAACAAACATATGAAAAAAAGCTGAACATCACTAATCATCAGAGAAATGCAAATCAAAACCACAAAGGGATACCACTTCATACCAGTTAGAATGGCGATCATTAAAGTCAGGAAACAATAGATGCTGGAGAGGATGTGGAGAAGTAAGAACACTTTTACACTGTTGGTGGGAATGTAAATTAGTTCAACTATTATGGAAGATGATATGGCAATTTCTCAAGGATCTAGAACCAGAAATACCATTCAACCCAGCAATCCCATTACTGGGTATACACCCAAAGGAATATAAATCATCCTGCTATAAAGATACATGCACAAGTATGTTTATTGCAGCACTATTTACAATAGCAAAGACTTGGAACCAACCCAAATGCCCATCAATAATAGACTGGATAAAAAAAATGTGTTACATATACACCATGGAATACAATGCAGCCATAAAAAGGAATGAGTTCATGTCCTCTGCAGTGACATGGATGAAGCTGGACGCCATCATCTTCGGCAAACTAACACAGGAATAGAAAACCAAACACCGCATGTTTTTACTCATAAGTGGGAGTTGAACATTAAGAACACATGGACACAGAGAGGGAAGCAATACACACCAGGGCTTACTGGGGGGTGGGAGGGTGAGGGGAGGGAATTTACAGGACAGGTCAATAAGTGCAGCAAACCACCACGGCACATGTATACCTATGTAACAAACCGGCACATTCTGCACATGTATCCTGTTGTTATTTTTTTTTAAGAAGAAATTTTTTTAAAAAAATTTCCTTATGTTCAACAGATAAAAACTATAATAGAGAAAAATTCTCAACTAACCACATATTCACAAGTTTTAATCTTCTCCTGAGCCAGATTGTATTCTGCCCATATTATCTCTAATCCATTCAAAGAAGCTGGAGTAGTAAAGCACCCTTCATCCAACACTTGTATAGCATCTGAAAGGTTATTTCCGAAACGAACACTGACGCCGACATGCCTATTTTTAAAAACAACAAAAAGAAAAAGATCAATACATTAGAAAGCTGATGTGAGAAAAAGTTACACTTTAATAGTAATGGTCTAAAAGTTATTGTTTACAGCACTGGCTTTGAAGAGGTACTTTTTAAAACTTTATATAAAATCATGTATAACTTATATTTTTCAGTCCACGTGTTTTTATGTAGACATGCATAATATAAACTTTTAATTAAAAAACATTTGCGAATATACTAATTTCATGACACAAAAAATATGAAAAAATTAAAAATTTTTTAAACTATAAAAAAGGCAACTTTGAAAGTCTGCAGAATTTCAAATGGTATCAAATGAAGCTTCAATTTTTGGTCTACAAATAATTTACAAAGTCTAAGAGAAACCCACTCACCATAGGCTAACTGATCTAAACAAGAGTTAAGTTTCTATGGTATATTTTTTAGTCACAAAAACATCACTTCTAAATAAAGACCCAAAACATTTCTAATATTAAACACTGAAATACATGTGTCCTCTAGATACATTTAAGAAAAAGCAATAAAAACAACTAAGATAGAGGGGGCGCACCCAAGATGGCCAAATAGGAACAGCTCCAGCCTCCAGCTCCCAGTGTGTGACAGAGAAGACAGGTGATTTCTGCATTTTCAACTGAGGCACCAGGTTCATCTCAATGGGGAGTACCAGACAATCGGTGCTGGTCAGTTGGTGCAGCCCGACCAGCGAGAGCTGAAGCAGGGTGAGGCATCGCCTCACCTGGGAAGCGCAAGGGGGAAGGGAATCCCTTTTCCTAGCCAAGGGAAACTCAGACACACAACACCTGGAAAATCGGGTAACTCCCACCCTAATACTGCGCTTTACCAAGGGTCTTAGCAAATGGCACGCCAGGAGATTATATCCCACACCTAGCCCAGAGGGTCCCACGCCCACGGAGCCTCCTTCATTGCTAGCACAGCAGTCTGAGATCTAACTGCAAGGCAGCAGTGAGGCTGGGGGAGGGGCGCCTGCCATTGCTGAGGCTGAAGTAGGTAAACAAAGCCACCAGGAAGCTCGAACTGGGTAGAGCCCACCACAGCTCAAGGAGGCCTGCCTGCCTCTGTAGACTCCCCCTCTGGGGACAGGGCATAGCTAAACAAAAAGCAGAAGAAACCTTGGCAAAGGTAAATGCCCCTGTCTGATAGCTTTGAAGAGAGCAGTGGATCTCCCAGCACAGAGGTTGAGATCTGAGAACGGACAGACTGTCTGCTTAAGTGGGTCCCTGACTCCTGAGTAGCCTAACTGGGAGACATCCCCTACTAGGTGCAGACCTACACCTCACACCTCACACAGCGGGGTTCAACCCTCAGACGAAGCTTCCAGAGCAAGAACCAGACAGCAACACTCGTTGCTCAGCAATATTCTATCTTCTGCAGCCTCTGCTGCTGATACCCAGGCAAACAGGGTCTGGAGTGGACCTCAAGCAAATTCCAACAGACCTACAGCTGAGGGTCATGACTGTTAGAACGAA